CACAAAAACCCCCCCGCCCCCCCCCCCCAGAAACAGAATGCAGACTAGAGGAGCTGCACACATAGGGCAGCTTTGATGAACAGAGTATGCTTATCTAGCAAGATGCCACAAGAGGACAAGTCATTGCAGTAATAATAGCACGTCCCCAGAGAGTTAGAAAATTCTGACTGAAGGTGTTAAGAAAACGAGGACAAGCAGGATCCTAACGTTCCACTGTCCAGGTCGTTCAGTCAACTATAGACCGGGAGAGATTCCAGCCGACGGATGGCTGAGCAGCGCCGCGCAGAGGCCACTATGGTAGCAGCAGAGCCCTAGGAACTACAACTCCCAGAGCGCCTCGGGAGCAGAAACTACAACTCCCAGCGAGTCCAGGGAGCAACACTGTCCGTAGCTTCCGCCTATCGCGCCTCTCTGACTGTCTTCCACCGGACCTAGCGGGACAGCTGGCACGTGACCCCCGCGTGAGTGGGGCGCGCCAGCCAAGAGTCCCTGGAGGCGGGGCTCGAGCCTCATTGGTAGGAAGGCGGCCCCCCAAAAGAAGAAATTGATCTTGACAATCTGGGAGCGACTGGAGTTGACGGGACGGGAGCAGAGCGAGCGAGGCTGCTGACCAATCAGCGTTCGGGGGAAGGAAAGGGGCGCGATGGCTCTGCGGTCACATGCCGCGGGGTCTGGTGGGAGGAGCAGTTGCTCAGCTGCCTCTCGCCGCTTCCTGTTTCCGGTTTCTGGAGCAGGGAGCCGAGCGGCGCTTTGGGGAGCGCTGGCCTCAGACAGGAACGGAGGACCGGGGTCTGCGGCCCGCCCCCCTCCCCCCATCTCCCAACCCCAGGGCCACATTCTTGGGGGCTTCTTCGCTTCAGCTGCTGTGTTTTCCGTGACACGTGAGTGTGGGGGGCGTGGAGGTGGAGGAGCAGGTGGGCCGGGGGTCCTTGCTCGCCCCTGCGCCGGAGGAGATGCAGTCCTCGCGTCGCGCGTGGCGGTGGTTCTAGCCCCAGACCCTGCTAGCGAGCCGTAGAGCCGAGTGGGGGCGAAAGGCGTGAGCACCGGGAGCGTCAGGCTACCAGGAGTGAGGGGGAGGACTTCATGACCAGAAAGGGGGTTGCGATGTTCTGAAGGTGCGGGAAATTAAGTGCCAAGTGGGGAGACCAGTGAAGTGGTGTTACTGGGTGTTTGTTGGAAGAATTTTGCCCTGTATCGTGGAAGTAAAGGGGCGTCGTGGCATCATCATTTTGGGTAAGGCATGGCTCTGAGCAAATGGAAAGCGAGAATTTCCAGGATCCTGGAAGAAGTTCGAGGAACTTGTGTGTGTGTTAGCTTGGTGTGGAAAAGAGTAACAGAGGGATTTATCTGTGTTTCTTCGTGTAGGAGTTTGAAGCACAGAACTACTTCCCAGAGGCTCTTTCAGCATTGGGCCTTTCCTGGCAGTTCAGACTGATCTTAGAAGGGTTGGCTGCTATGAACCAGGAGGAAGAAACTAAAGCCTTCCATTAGAAAAAAAATGGAAAATGGCCACGAGTGGGAAAGTGCGAGCGAACATAAATGATGTCGGCAGTTTCCCAATCTCTAACTTAGTCGTTGGCTGTCCTTAAAGGAGAATGTCCCAGCATCGCCAACAGATCTGTGTCTCTTTAGAGTAAGGAAATTGAAGATTTTCAAGTTCCTAAGATCCTCTGTCACACACTTTGAGGATCTATTTGTGCCATATTAAAAAGGGACTGCCCAGCTTGAATTTCATACTTTTCTCTCCTTGTGCCTATGTTTATCAGAAGTTTGCCAAAAAATGCCTTCATGTCATTAGTCATCCAGGTTGCTCTAGGAACTTCGCCCATTTAATATTTGTGTAACCAAGAACAAGTAACTCAGTGGGCATCTGTAAGCCTCAGTTCCTTTATCTTGCTTTCCCAACATAACGTAAGTAAAGCATTTATGATATACACCATACTGGATCAAAAAGAGCATCTCAAACTTAGAGTCAAGTCTTTCTCCTGGTTTTTCTGCTTACAGTCAAATCTTAAGCTAGACAGGATGTAAAATTATTCCTCTTTTTTGGACAAATTAGCAAATGACAAATCATTTGGTTCATCTAATGTCTGCCACAGCTTGTTTTAATTCTTCATCCTGTCTCAGTTCTGTGAAGTTTTCTGCCCTCATTTGGGAAGAGAAAGCAGTAACAGTTAACAAATGAGGAACCATCTCTGAGGCCACAGTGCACAGCATTCATTCTGTGAGAGCATCCCCCCAAAATATGCTCCTGGGGAGAAAGGGCTTCAGAGCCCAGAATGTTAACATTTTCAATTAGATCCTAAGAGAATTTAAGGGAAATGGCACAGAGTGGGTTAACAAAAGGACCTCTCAGTGATTTGACTGGTTGGGCTATGTGTTGAGCAATAGGTGAGCTTAGGGAAGGCAAGAGCTTAAGTCTGAGCTTTTTGTTACACTCTAGTTAACTCTGTGAGGACTTGCTCCTCTTTCCTGCTTTGTTTTAAAAAGAAGAAAGGCAACTCTGCTTTGGTTTCTGCTGGCATCCCAGAAAATTATGATGAAAGATGTGCATGACGGTGACGCGTAGAACTTGAGCTCCAGAGCCATTTCTTTTACTCACGCTATTAGCTGTATTGTCAGTGTTTGTTTTGTTTGTTGTTTGCTTTTTAATCTGCAATAGAGATGATTAAATTTACTACATAAGGTTGGGGGGATTGATTAATTAATGCATGTTAAGTATTTCAGGTAATGCCTGGCTGAAGGCTGTCGCTATTAATGTGTCCTATTGTTTTGTATTTGAGATGTGTTAGAGAGCCTTTGACCTCTCTTGGCCACCAGTGATTATTGTGTGGAAATGCCTTGTTTGTGTTTCTGTAGTTTGATGTGTGGGGTATTTGAAGTCAGGTAGATAAGTCCCCAAGCATTTGTTACCCTCCTTGCATATGGGAAATAGAAACTCAGATTAAATTTCAGGGAGAAAAGGAAATGCGATTAGATTACAAGGTTGGAGTGTCCATGGTCTTGTCATAAGGAAAGACTGGAAGAGTTAAATGTCTCCGAAAAAAACAGTGAAACTTAAATGAACAATGCCCAATGGTCTGAAGGGTTACCGATAGATAGGAGTGAAACCTTCTGCCAGCATAAATCACTGTGGCCTAACTACAAGGATGATATAGGGATGTCCAACTTTTCAACATACAAATAGGACGTTATCATCTGCAAATATGTAGGGCTGCATTCACAGACACAGCTGAGGGTGTGTCTCCCATGGGCCACATAAGGCTGTTAGAGTAGCACAGACAGTGAGTGAAGGTGGCAGTACAGGACTGTAGAGTGGAGAAAGACAGCCATCTTGCTGAAAGTAGAAGGAAGCCCTTGAGATTTGTGGCTTGGAGAAGCTGGGACAGGTTTTGGAAGACATCTAAGCCCTTGTTGTGATTGGGTGGCTTTCCAGGGAAATGGTGTGTAAGTAATTGAGGTGACTTGGGGTGCTGGAGCTGCTTCACTTCATCCCACGTGCTTCCAGTGAATGTGAAGAAAGATTGCTGGATGCTCCCAGAATACTGCTATGAAGCAGATTCATGCTTTTTGTTTACATAATCAAAATATTAATTTTGCAGTCATGTGATGTATCTGTTTCCTTTCTCTCCGGAACCTGCCTTCACCTTCAACACACTCTTCCAAAAGGATGTTCCCCTTCTCTGGCTGCTGGAGGACTGAACTGTTACTATTGCTAGTCCTGGCTTTGGCTGTGAGAGAATCCTGGCAGGCAGAAGAAAAGTCTTGTGACCTGGTAGGAGACAATGATAAGGAGTCAAAGCAAGAGAAGGCTCTCCTGGAGAGGCTACGGCCACTGTTTAACAAAAGGTAGACGAGCAGAGCCTTAAAGGGTTTAAGAAGTGATCTTTATTTGGGGTTTGCTTTTACTGACTGTACTCGAGCATTAATGTGAAAGGGGTACATGCACGCTATGAAGTCTAACCTGGATTTTGGCAGTATTGGTTGTATTTGGTTGTAACACATTGCCCTCTTAGCGACAGACCAAATTCACAGCCATGTGATCATGTGTGTTTTTCTTATCTTTCACAGGAAAGTATCCGTTTCTAATGACTGGCTCTAAAATACCAGCCTGTAGAAACCAGAACATAACTTGATAGCTTCATACAGTAAGACTTTAGAAACATCAAGCAGACATACTTAAAGAGATATACATGTCTGAGTATGTCTTCATCGCTGTCAGGGAATCTTCAGATATAAAATGATCCTTAAGCATGGGACTGTCCCTTGCTGTAACGAAATAGCCAACACTTTTGCATAGCTATAATAGGTATGCTATGATGTGTAGCTGTTTGGGGTGGTATCTTTATCAACAAGTAGGATAGTCTATGGGGATATAAACAACTCATAGTTTATCAAATTCAGCAAATTTGCATTTTGTACATTGGTTGTCATCAAAGGGAGGGGTGCAGTTTTTCCTGTTTTAGTAACTAGTGATACTGTTCTTTCTCTCTCTACTTGTCTTCTGCAGTTTTGAGAGCACTGTGGGCCAGGGCTTAGATACATACAGCTATAGATTCAGAGTATGCCGGGAAGCTGGCAACCACTCCTCTGGAGCAGGCCTGGTGCAGATCAGCAAAAACAATGGGAAGGAGACGGTGGTCGGGAGAATCAACGAGACTCACATCTTCAATGGAAGTAAGTATTTCCTGCTGACTAATCCACGGCAGTCCTCTGCAATCCTTTATGTGTTGTCCATCCCCAACTTTTTGAGTATGTCATGTTATGGAATTTGCTCCACCTGGACTGTACCTCACAGTGCCTAGTTCCACAGCTGGTCTGGAGCCATAGCTCAGGACACCTCTGTGTTTGAAGATAGTGCAAAACTTTAACAAAAAGAATATGGGATTGGGGAAACAGTTCAGAGTAGAACATTTGCCCACATGCACAAAGTTCTGCTTTGACCCTTAGAACCACAAAAAGAAAGATGGAAGGAAGGGGTAGAAGAAGAGATGATGAATGGGAATGAATATGAAAATGCCAGAATTTTACATAGCCAGGAGTCCTTCTAGACACCCAAATATTTAATGAGTTCCACACCAACCACCACCATTTCTCATCAGTTAACCAAGTTTGCCAACTGAATTCCAAAATACCTTTTTATGCAAACCAGTAAGTATTTAAGGAAAAAGAAACACACCACCTACTTGTACTAACATAGTTGTATTTTTCAAATGTCATGAAAGTGGCTTGATTTCTTCCCATAAGCAGATAATTAATCTAGTGTAGATATTCGTTATGTAAAGAACAAAATAAAATGCATGAGTGCATTCTTGACCCAAATCATCATTTTCCTAGTATGATGGTGTCTTAGTCGTTGTTCTGTGGCTGTGAAGAGACACTGTGACCAAGGCAACTGTTATAAAAAAAGAGTTCTACATCCTGAGCCATAGGGGGAGAGAGAGAGAGAGAGAGAGAGAGAGAGAGAGAGAGAGAGACACTCACTCACTCACTCTGGGCCTGACATAGGCTTTTGAAACCTCAGAGCCCACCACCAGTAACGCTTGCTCTAGCAAGGCCACACCTCCTAATGCTTAAAATCCTTTCAAACATTTCCACTCCTTGGTGACTAAGCCTTCAAATTTATGAGCCTATAAGGGGATCATTCTTACTCAGACCACCACAGATGATTATGAGGTACTAGCTCACTGGTTATAAAATCTTCTCATATGCAAAGTTAAAAGCATCCTTACCTATTCACTTCACATGGTGGTTAGTCACACAAGATTTTGCAAAGAACTTGAAAAGTAGTAAATACTAAGGAAGGGAGATGTATTCCCAACTCAATAAACATCCACTTTGAATTTATCTATGTTACCTTGGACTAAGCAATCATCCAGAACCTCCTCTCCTTTTGCTGTGTTGAGAAAATGTGCATCAGTGTGAAAAGCACAGATAATAACTGTTTTTACACATTCTCTTGCCTACCTTTAATGTAAAAAATGGGGTTAATCTTTTTTGGGGTGGGAGAGCGGGCGTTGAGACAGAGTTTCTCTGTAACTTTGGAGGCTGTCCTGGAACTAGCTCTTGTAGACCAGGCTGGTCTCAAACTCACAGAGATCCGCCTGCCTTTGCCTCCCGAGTGCTGGGACTAAAGGCGTGCAACACCACCGCCCGGCTGGAATTAATCTTAAGTATTGAGTTTTTATTGTCTAAAACAGGGCAACACAGAGTTTTGTCAAGAAACAAGTTTTAAGGCCAGGTATGGTGGCTCATGCCTGTGACCCTAAAACTTGAGAGGCAGAGGCAGGAAATGACAAGTTGGAGGCCAGACTGGTCTATGTAATAGTGAATTAAGGCCAGCCAAAACTACATAACAAAACTCTTGTTTTTTAAAAAAGAAAAGTTTTAGCTTAGCATTTAGATGTACAGATCATACTAATTAGCATTGATTAAAAACCATCTTGGTAGCTAACTCCACACTTCCATACCCATTGTTGCCTCTGTTTTCCCTGTGCTCCATAGTGTCATTGTTCTTGTCCTTCCTCAGGTAATTGGATCATGCTGATATATAAAGGGGGTGATGAATATGACAACCACTGTGGCAGAGAACAGCGTCGAGCAGTGGTGATGATCTCCTGCAACCGACGCACATTAGCGGTGAGGTACCCTGGGGCGTAG